TTGCTTTTTAAATTAAAACCATCTGCTTCCTTCTGTGCATCTCCAGATGATATCACTGGGCCTGAATAGGAAACTCCCATGAAAATCAAACATCTGGAAGACTGGTTAAAGCAGTCTATAAGGTGCATTTGAAGAGACTGTCCTATGAATGTGCCTAAGCAAATATAGCACACCAGATGAGGAGGTTTTTCCAACAGACCAGACATTTTTCAGAGGTTTTTTGAAAGCAAGAGAGAATCAAGTATTGGGGGTAACTTCAGTGTACTTTTGTGGCAGAAGAGCCAAAAGTGCAGCTTTTGTGAGTCTTCCACTTTCACTTTGTAGTGTTAGGTTGTTAGAGTGAATGCAGCTCTGTGGATTTGCCCATGATTTGGAGACTTCAGCTTTGGATAAATACCTTTGTTTTGTTTTTGTCTCTTGTTTAGCTCCATGAGAGCCTGGGCTAAGGCAAATGCAGGCTGGAGACAAGGAGGAGGGGGGAAAAAAAAATATGGGCTGAGCTCAAAAGTATTTGTGCTGGAAAGTAGCCCAGAGAGAGTAAAGGAGAAGCTTTAATTAGAAGCAGCTGCATAGCTGATGCAGCCCACAGGACATTTTCCCATTTCAAACTCTCTAGCTTTCAGTGATCGTGATTTGAATTAAGTTGTATGTGAAATTTGTTCTTAAAAGATTAAATTCCTCTTGAAGTAGGTTAAGAGACCTCATGTGCTTCTAGAAAGTGCCAGAACAAACTTCATCTTCCTGTTGCTCTTTGAGCGTTAGATGGAAAACTGAGGAGAAACAGTGGCTTTTATTTGGAGAAGATTGGATTTCCTGTTCTGAGCATGTCATTTGGAGCTGACACAAGCTGCTACAATTTTAAGCTGCTCTGTAGACAAGTGGCTTTTTTCCCCCCCCTTCTCCTAAAGAAAACTTGAAAGAGTAGGTTGGGATGAGAGCAGAGCAGGGGTGGTGAGAAGCTGGAGTTGCTGTTGAGGATAATTATATTCTTTAAAGAAGCCTGGACATAGACCCCGCTTTTGTTTGCCTCTATTATTTTAGAGACATGATGTGGTACCCAACATGAATCAGGGGCAAATATTTGCAGTTTTGTCTACACCAACATTTAGAACTAAATTACTAGTATTTGTGCCTAGAAATGTTGATGACAGGAGACATGGTTGAAAATTTGGACTGTAGGTTTTTTGTTCCTTAACATTCAGAAAGGATTGCACTGGATTGCTGGAGGGGAAAATGGCATAACTGTCTGACCAAGCACTTCTCCTGGAGGAGAACAAAATGGTGGATACCTGACCTACCATCTTTCCACACAGTCATGTTCCCTCTGGCAAATTCTGTAAGGCTTTGTCCTTCCAAATATAAAGAGCTAAAGCTGAAAGAGCTTTTGCTGTTCCCTGTTGGAGCACTCCCTCATGTTTTTCTGATTAACCTCTGAAGATACCGGAACAAGCCTGGTCTTGGAGTGCTCTTCAGCTTTGTACCAGAACATCTGTGTACAAATGCTGGGCCATTTGAGGGTGATGCTTGTGAGTTTTGTCTTAGAGCCCAGGTCTCATCTTTCCTTTTAAATCATACCAGCTATACAATTAATCAGCGTCTAGGCTACGTCCTTGCAGTTACCTAGGGGCAACAGTTAAATGTATCTTCCAGTATCCCTGAAAGTTGCAGTGGGAGAGGAGTGTATTTGGTGTTTCATTTGCTTGTGGACAGCACATGAGGTGTTCCTCTACACTTTCTAGTTTGCTTTACAGCCTTTCAATGAAGAAGCACTTAAGGACTTATCTTTTATGTGTGTTTTGGTTTATTTTGTATTTGTTGGAGTGGTGGATGATGTTGGAAGACCACTTGTTTGTCTGATGAGGTGCCCTCAGTGAGGTTCTGATTTGTTGCTCACAGTTTCATGGTAGAGAGCTACAAGTGCATGGCCTGTGCCTCCTGCTGTTAGTCTGGGGAATTTGGTGTACTGCTGACACTGAAAGCAGCTGAGCTGCCCAAAGACCCCCATCACCGGTGGTGGTGAAACTAGAAGAAATACCTATTACAAAATCTTCTAAGCCTTCTGGGACTGAAGTTCAGTTTGACTCTGCACATTCATCAGCTGCATATAGATGTCCAGAAACACGATTTAATTGTAGTTAGCCAGACGATCTCTGAGCAGAGCTAGCCAGTGCTCTGTGTGCAGGCTTGAATGCCGTGGGAGTTGAGCAGTTCTCCAGCTTCTGGCACAGCTGTCTTTGCTGGGTGCCAGATTTCTATGTGATCGAGCTCTACAAAGCTATGCTGTAGCCTGCTGGTGTTTGGACTGATTTCTAACCCGTATCAGGGAGGGATTTCGAATGCTAAATGAAGCGTATAGAATTGCCACGGTTTAGGCCCAGAATACCCGAAGATTGACTCTTGTGTGACGTGGCAGCACCTCACACTGACAGCCTTCAGCTGTTACAATGAGGATGGCACAAAAGGTAGAGGACATTTGAAAACGGTATTGTCTCACGATTTGCTTTCTGTAACTTTATGAATCCTGTCTTGCTCTGGAAAAACTCTTTCATGTCTGTTCTTGGGTACGAAGTTGAAAGTATTAAGGTATGGTGAAAGGAGCCTAATTTGGGCGTGGGAAAAAGTAAATTACGATTATGCACATCTATTATATGACTTTCCTGCTTTACACATATGGCTAAAGCTAGTTAATAAATCTTAACATGAGAAAAAACAGTTGTGGTCATCTAGTAATGACCCCTTGCATAACTTGGATAATAACCTCTCTGAGTAGCTGTGTTTGAACTAGTGTGCATACACTTTCTGAGACAGCCAATCCTGGTGTTCTTTTAAACAAGCATGAGTGATGGAGAAATTCCACTGCGACCTTAAACACGTTCCAGTTGTTTCTTTCTGCTGCTGAGAAACTGTGTGTAGGTCTCTGTTTGGAGATAAAATTATTACCCTATTTCTATTTTGAATTTGTCTAGTTTGAACTTCTGATGCTCAGTTCTGTTATCCCTGTACCTTCTAGATTGGGAATTATGGTTAAAGCTGAGTTTTTTTGTGGATACTTGGAGCTTTTAATTAACTGCCTTCTTCCCTTTTCCCGTTGATGAATAGATTGAAACACCTGAGCTTTTCATTGTGTCAAGAGCTCTCTATTAATCATTACTGCTCACTTCTTTGAGTTCAGTAAAGCTCTTCCTTCTTAGAGAGCAGACACCAGAACTAATGTAATGGTTGTGCCAAGTGAAATATCAGATGTAGCATAATCTTATTTACCTCCTACCTGATATTTGCTGTTTGGCCAGGAATATTTTAGATGTACGAACTGTTATGCTAGGAATTCACATTCAGCTGACTGTTAGGAACCCCCAAAGCAAATCTGTCTTTCCCAGATCGGCCTCCTATTTTGGGGACAATGCTGTGTATGTTTTTTTTCTAGCTGTATGACTTCACCATGCTGAAGTGCACTTTATGTGCTGACTGCCTTGTTAAGCAGTTCATGTAACTACTTTCTATCAAGAACTTGTCTTCACTCTTACCTATGTTTGACCAGCATTGATGTTTTCTGTTGTTATTCATTGATAGAAGTGTTGAATAGCATAGGAACAAAGGCAGGTCCCTGTAGTATTCTATATAAAACCCAACTTCGTGATTGTTCATTGATTTTTAAACTGAATTTTAAGGCATACCCAGTTAGGTGTGGGAGTTTGTTTGTTTCCCAATCTACCATACATTTTAAAGTGTGTAAGTAAAAGGCAGTCTTTTTACGTTCTTGTCTGAAGGGCTAGCTAGAGACTTGTGTGTTTTTTTGCAGCTGGAATCTCTTTCCCTTGGATTTGAGTAACTCTCTGATGGAATAATTGTACCTATCCTGTTCTGGAACAAAGTGTATATAATGTTCACTTCTGAATTTTTGCAGTGAAATACATGTTCTCTCAGGCTGTGTGTATTTTGGGTTACTTACCAGTTAAAGCATGTAGCTGTGCATAGAAAAAGTACAAGTGGAGAGTCCTGTTTTGTGTGTTAGGTGTTGTTTTTATCTAGCATGTACTGTTGCAGCTTTCTGTTACCTGGAAGAAGAAAATGGAACTGTGGGATGACACAAAGATGGGGTTTGCAGGCTTGCTTGCCTGGGTCCTCTGTACTGCTAGAAGTTAAATGGAAAATTTGTAGTACAAAGGCCATTTAAAAGATGGATTACAGCTGACAAGTGTAGTCAGGCTGTATTGACAGAAGTTTAGGTTAAAGAGAAATAACTGCAATTATTCTGCAGTCGCAGATCTTTGTATAAAATATTGCCCTAGCTGTAGATAGTGTGTGTGTACTCATTTTTCTGTGGGAGAGAGAGGAACAATGACCTTGTCGTTAGGGTGCTAGCCAGGGGCGTGGGAGACCTGACTGCAGAGCTTGCGTTGCTAGCTGAGTGCAGACTTCTGCATGTCACAGTCCCAGGGGCACTTATCAACATGAGGGTAACAGAATATTCCTGTCTCACGGGAGTGTTGTGGAGAAAGATTTGCTACAGATCCTCAGGCCCTTCAGACACTGCGTTTGTACAAGGTTTATAAATATTTTGGAAGATGGATAATACCTAGTGTTAATACCTGTTATCTAAACTTCTTTTCTTCTTGAAAAGGATGCTTATTAAAGTGGGAGTGGGTGCAAGGAATCCTTACTTGGCAGTTCTTTTAACACCTAGGCTTTTACTGAAGTTCTGAAGGGAAGTGCAAGAATAAGGTTCTGCATTTGATGTAACTCTGGCTGTATGCAGTATTTCTTCAGTTTGTAATTAATGATTTCACAATTTGAACTTAGGTTTTCAGTGGTTTTATTTGGGACGATACCAGAGAAAGGCCCTGTTACATTTATGACGTTAGCATTTAGGTCTGCTACTGTTACCATTAATTAAGGCAAATTCCAAGACTTTAGGGGTCATGAAACTTAGTTCCTGGTATCTTCCCAGGGTGACAAGGCTTCAGGTGAACGTGCTGTAAATAATTTCTTCTCTATTGCAGGTGTCGAGAAGGCTTTCTTGGAGACTACTGTCAGTACAGAAACCCCTGTGAAAGCAATACCTGTAAGAATGGGGGAACTTGTGAAACCACATCTCTGATAGGAAAGGCTACCTGCAAATGTGCTCCTGGGTTCACAGGAGAGGATTGTCAGTATTCAGAATCGCACCTCTGCTACATGTCCCAGCCCTGCCTGAACGGAGGAACTTGTCATCCCCAGAGCCAGGACACATATGAGTGTGTCTGTCCTCCAGGTTATACAGGTGAGGGTCTGCATTTGTACTTCCGGACTCTCTTCTTTAGAGAATTACTTCATCCTGGACTGTTCTGGGGCAGTCATAATACACTCAAATTTACAAGCTCCAGCACAGGAAATGAGGAAAAAGTCTAAATGACTTCATGACCAAAAAAAGCAAAGGGGGAGAGGGGTTAGGGAATCAACCTCCCTACCCTTTACACGTAAGCAGAAAGACATTTAGATCTTGTGGCATTGTCCACATGGGAAAACTGAGTGCAGAAGCTGCTCTGGAGTGGCTCTTAGGCTTTGAATTCAGAGTCTAGCTTCTAGAAAAAATGAAGTAAATCTGGCAGCAAAATCTTACTATGGGAAAATTCTAATTGTGTGCCTGAGGGGAAGCATGGAATCTCACGCTTTTCATTCTTGAAGGGGATGTAGAAGAGTGGCTGTCAGTATGTAGTACGATTTCAGGTCATGGGTTATTTTTATAAATCACAACATTCTATATCTCGCTGCTACTTTGCAAATAAAATGACTTCGTACTGTAACCACAAATTGATTTTTTTTTGTTTCAAATATAACACTGTAAAATACAGGCATAATTTTTTCTGTAATAAGTTTAGGATTTAGTACATTAATCACTTTGAGGTACCATGAAGAAATACTGTTTTCCATAGAAATAACATTTCATTAATGCAGTGCTCTGTCTTGGTCCTACAGGGAAAGATTGTCAGTGGATTGATGCCTGTACATCTCAACCTTGTGCCAACGGAAGTACATGTACTGTATCTGGAAATAAGTTCTCCTGCATCTGTCTGCCTGGCTACACTGGCCAGAAGTGTGAGATAGATGTGAATGAATGTGCCACACCAGGCCTTTGTCAACATGGTGGGACCTGTGTCAATTTGCCTGGCTCATACAGATGCCAGTGCAAGCCAGGCTATACAGGACATCGCTGTGAAAGTGTGTATGTGCCATGTTCCCCATCACCCTGTATGAATGGAGGAACTTGTCATCAAACAGGTGACTTCGCTTTTGAGTGCAACTGTCTGCCAGGTAAATGATGATACTTCAAAGTGCTTGGTTTTGTGGTTTTTGTCACTGCATTCCTGGATGTATTTTCTAAAGACTTCTCTTGGATTTTCTGTGTGATGTTCATGTAATGTAAGGTTCAAGGGAGAAATCTCAGCAAGCCAGGAGTTAATTTCTGAGTGTCAGGATTTAGTAATGTGGAAGGGAAGAAAGGAAGAAGGCTAGACATGACAGATTTCTTCAGAACCCTGTTAAAGGCAGAGAATCAAATAAGTGTGAGAACTATGAGGTAAATGCAGGAAGATGGGGGTGTTATCTCTAATGCCCATTTGGAATGCAAATTTCCATGAACCTCTACAAATGCATAGGTTTGTGGTCAGTAGAGGCCACAGTTAACTTCAGTGTTTGAATGAAGATGAACGTGTCTTTCTCATTCTCAGTCTTTAATGCTAAAAATATACTAGGTTCTACTATCTTCCTTTGCTCCTCCAGTTCCTCCAAATTTTGAGATATTACTTTCAACTCACCACACCCTTTCTGTCGTGTAACATCACCAGATAAATGATGCTTACTTGTTTTCTGATGCTGTTAGCTGCCCTGAGTTCAAATGCTGTGTTTGCCCACAGCAGGGGCGGTATGCTTACTCAGGGTCATGGGCTATTTTGGGTTTGTGAGTCAAGCTGGCCTCAAGTCAACAAGGGACCCATCTCTATAAATGACCGTATGTCATCTGGTTGGGACCCTGGTGGTCTCATCGTATCCTGCTCCTCCCCATCCACTTGGATATGGACCACAGGGCAGTACTAGTTGTCTTTGCATGTTAGGTTGGTTGGTTGGTGGTTTGTTTGGTTTTTTTTTGTTTTTTTTACTGAGTAATTCAACTCCATGGGAAACTGACTGTTTGGAAATGCTTTTGACTAGACTTCCTACTTAACTGTATTGCAGTTTGGCACATGAACACTTGGTGTGTGGTAATCTAGAAAAGTAAACTCTGTTCCCTTAAGCATTTCTCTGTTGTTATTTATGTGAAAGATGTAGCTGCCATATATTGTTTAGGATGAATGTAGTGTGACTGCATTCTCATAAGGATCATCTGGAGCAGCAGGTATGCGCAGAAAGAGCATTTAGAACTTGTGAGAAATACTGTCTTTTTGGAGACCTTTGTCTTGAAGTATTTGCTCAAATGACTTTAAATGTACATTGCCAACTTTAGTTAGCGCCTGCACAACTTTCTGGGTTTTCTGAGCAAGCATGTGACCTTTGAAGAATTTGGGAAAGTTGGTCTTAAAATAGAAGGGATGTATCAACTTTATTTTTGTGTGAAAGCAACCATTTCTAGGCGTGCTTGAAGAAACAGTGCTTAACCCTACAGGGTCTTTCAAAATGCTGTATCTTAACTAACAGTTGCTCTTGGTGAATTTCTTGATTTTCTGCTCTTCATCTTTTTAATATGAAATTGGAAATAAAGTGTCTGGATTAACAGGCTTGATCAGAAATGCAAAAGTTTTTTAGTCAGATCTGTTTAGCAAGTTCAAGATCTTGTGCAGAAGCAGTGTGGCTGGGGAAAGAGGAGAAGACAGCGAAGTTTGAGGGACCAGATCCTGTAAAGCTGATAAGAAAGTTAGCTTTCGTGATGCTCTACAGGAGCGCGAGACTGGGTCGGAGCACGTTTTCCTTTAGACAAGCGTGTGGGCTGGCTAAACTATGGTCAGGAAATGAAAATGGGGTTACTATAGTAACAGCTACACACCTACACTGCTCACACACATTTTGGATTATTAGCTGCTTTTTTGGACTTGTTACACAACATTTATAGTGGGGGTGGGTTAATGCTGCTTTGGGAGCCTTCACTTCTGTGTTTCCTGTATTTAAGTTGGCCATGTTGCTTGATGGCTTGATTTCTACTTTTTTGAAACAAGCCATTTGAAAAACAGCAAAGAAAGGGAGAGGTTGGAGAGGCCAAAATGCTTACATTAAACCCTTTGATAAAGGCAAGGCACCCAGCCATTTCTTCCCCCTTAGTGCAGCATGCAGAATAAAATTTCTGAAGTGTTGGAAAAGGTTCTGTCTGGGAAGGAAAAGTCAACAGAAAGAGAAGAAAAATAGTGGTCTGTTGCACCCAGGGAAGATGTGAGGACGGCCTCCTCATCTGGAAGAGAGCTCCGAGATTATGGACTAAAAATTCCTCTTGTGACTCCCTCTCTGAATTGGAGCAATGCTGATGGTACTGTGACTATAAATGGAATTTCTCTAGCCCTTCTTTCTGGACTGCCTTAAGATGTTACCATCGCTCAGCATTCTGGTCATAGAGGCAGGAGGCAGTCACATCTTGAATTGCTGGAATGGTTTTTGCTATGATTTCGCATCTTGTGGTTGGTGAAACTGCTATAAATAAACTGATTGTGCCCAAGCAGCAATTTAGGCATAATTAGGTTACTCCTGGACTGGTCCTGAAATGGGTTCTTGTTTCTTGTAGGTGTTTTCTTGGCTTTTGAGTGAATTTCATTTTTTGTAAATACAGATACGTGATAATGAAACCTTGAAAATGTGATACCCCTCCTACTCTGTCCCCCAACCTGGAGTTACATGTCAGAGCAGCTTTCTACAGTAGGACAAGTGATTCTGTAGAGTATAGTCAAGCTGCTATTTTAAATTCTCAGGTTCCCATTTCACTTGGGGATTTACACAAGCAAATTTTGCATTAGGTAATTCATGAAGTCATGGGTGTTAAAGTCAGCTTTTGGGGGCAAATGTAAGTGAAGACTTATATACTGTAAGTATTACATCTGTATGAAAGGTAACTTCGTATTTTCCATTTGTCTAATATAATCATTTTTCCTCTGGGCTTTGGTGATTTAGGTGAAAACAAGGTGGTAGACAGGTGAGCCTGTTAGGTCAATCGTAATAGAGAGTCGTTGTAAAAAAAAACTACACCAAAACCATTTGTGAAAGGCTTAACCTGGAGCATTAGCAACTCCCTTAAATATAAGAATGAGCTTATAGTTACAAATATTTGAAAAAAATGGAGTTCATTTGGCAACTAACCTTTTAATGGAATGTTAAACGAGTCAATAGAGGAAGTTCTTAGCTGGGAAAGTGATTATTCATTGTTATCCATCAAAATAATTACCCATTAACTAAGATAAGGACCCTAGGGAATTCCAAGGGCTTGTTCAGGAAACAATCTGTCAGGCTGGAGCAGGCTGTTTATGAGAGCTGGAACACTTCCTGGGAAGAGGAAGTAACCTCACGCCAGTTCATAGCAGAGCGTTACACGACACTGTATGGTGAGCATCATGGATGGGGTCTAGCAGATGTACTGAAATACTGAAGTTCCCATGGTGGGGAAGACTGCTTTCTGAGATTTAGAGATGAGCTGTATCCTGTGGGGTGTGAGGTTCTGCATTGATGCAGTCTTAGAGTACTAGATGGTGTGTGTGTCTCTCTGCTCTGGGTGAGCTGGGTCTCCTACGTGGAGTAGTCCATCTCGCATAGATTTCAAGAAGATGAATTGTTGGAGTTGCATCCAGGCAACTGCTGTTGGGCACCTGGTATGCATGACCTTGCTTCTGAGTTGAAATGATATAGGTCAGTTTTAGTACTCTGAGATCTCTAATACCTTGTCAGTTTGTCAATAAACTTGACATTTTCATTAAGGTATAATTTATTGGCCCTGCAGAAAGGTGTAATTTATAGATTGAAATAAGGCTAAAGATTAAGATTTGGAGGGAATTGGATTATTGTGCTCTGGAATGGGGTGGAGTTTTCAGATGACATAGGGGTAAAGATATCTGCTTGTATCAGTCTGTGTACTAGCAGAGGAACAACATGCTGTTAGCAGTGGGAACACTTTTCCCCTTGAGGTTCTCATTCCTTAATTTGATATGCTTGGAGACATGGAGCAAAAGTCAGGATATGTATTGCAAACTATTCTCTTGGAAAGAGAAAGCAAAGGACAACATGCGAGTCCCAGCACAGGGGGGGAACAGGGAACAGCATCAGGTGTCCAGATACTTCAAAACAGTGAATTCTGGCTTTGTGGAAGAATCAGGTTATGTAACTGCAAAATCGTACTGGGACCCAGCTTCAGAAAAGCTCATGTGTCTCAGCAACTTCATGCCTGTTGTGCTCCAGTGTAGATACATTGACCCAAACAACAGTGACTAAAGGACTGATTTTAAGAATGGAAGCTGGACTTTGCTAAGACAGTTCAGTTTACAAATTAAGCAGATTGCAGTATTGTGGTGTAAGTAGGACTTGAAGAGGACACAAAAATCATGCCTTTCTAGCCTTGGATGTTCTGAAGCTAAGCCAGAGTTGTTCTTCAGAGTAAGAGAAGTTTAAAGGAAGACTGGGAGCTGAGAAGTTACCAAAAAGGAAATGTGTGTTTTCTTCAGGTGTGCACTCAAAATAGCATCGTCTTCACCATTTCAACCCTTTCTGGTTCCCTTTCCCTTGGAGATGCTTTTTGACTGATCAGCCCTTTACTACATTGACTTTTTTTCTTTCTCTGTTTATAGTCTACTGCCACTAATGTTATCCTTTAGCTTTTAGAGTGGGATTAACGGTTTTCTACATCTGCTACATCTTTCTACATCTGCTACATCTACATCCTAAGAGGATCAGCTCTTAGATGATAGTATAGCTGGTTAAAATGTGAAAATGTGCAATGGCTTGGTGAGGCTTTAGTATTCAGGTGACTTCCATGCTTTATTACTCTTTATTATTATTGGGCTGCTCCAAATTTATGTGCAGTACAGGAAGATTAGTTTTAAATAAATCCCTGTTCTCAGGAATTTGTGTACTAGAATGTAGGGTAGGTCTTCATATTGTCTGAGATGAAGGGGTAAGAACATAAACCTTTTGCGTTTGTGGTTCTGGGTGTATTTCCATGCTGATCACATTGTTGACTTGAGTACCATCTCCAGTCAGTGAGGTGTCTCTCAAGCTGGAAAGCAAGCTGATAGGACACCCCTGTGTTTTACAGCTGAGCCTTTAGACATGCATGATAGCTTTATACAGTTTTAAGCATAGTGATCTGATGCTGATTGTGTTCCTTGGTAGTTGATCCTCAGCAGCTTTCGCGAGGAAGGTGCTGTTGTGATGATTAGGATTCAGGCTAGCCATGTTATATTTCTTCATTTTAACCTTCCCTGCTGCCATGGTATTTGCAGGATCTTGGGCAAAGGTAGGACGGGCTTTGAAAGGAGAGGGTGCTGGTGCAAGGTGCTAATGCACTTGTTAAAACTTGGCAACAGCACTCTACTTCTGACTCTTACCTGTGGTATTGGAGAACTTTAAGAGGTGGGAATGCATACGAATCATCTCAAGTCTCTTGAGAGTAGTGATAGTCTGGAGAAGCTATGTCAGGGCTTTACAGTCTGCTTCATCTGCCACACAGCATGATCTGTGTTGCACCAGATGTTGCTTGGAAGGGTCTATGTGACTTGACACAGATGTTATGGAAGCATTTGGAGCAGGGCATCAAAAGTAGAGGGGTTAAAGCATAATTTTGGATGAGAGGACTGCGTCATATTAATACTACATTCCAAAGCAGTGGAGAGGCAGAGCTGCTGTTTTAAATTAATGTGTGTTCTGGAATCATTTATTTCATCCACATTTGCATGCATCCACTTGTGCTTTGATAAACAGCACTCTCATCTAGCAGAAATGGCAAGTTTATTTAATGAAGCATGAAATAAATCAGCAGGGGAAACTGAGGGGAAGATGGACTATTGATGATTCCCTTCCCTAATGTCCCCACTTCTCCTTATTTTAAAGTAGAGGGAGATCTGGCAAGGGTGCTTTGCCATTGTGGCTACATTCATTAGAAGCCTTGATATTCATCGAGGAACATGTCTTGTTTCTTCTGCTTTTCAGTCAGGGCTTAGTGCGTAAGTATCGCTTGGGTAGTGGCTGATTTGTTGATTGACAAACTTAGGTCTAACACTGAAGAGGTCCAGAACAGGAATTTGGAAGCTCACTTTCAAAGCCTGGAAGATCTTTCTCTGACATAGCTAAGGTGTGTGAACTATGCCGAGGTATTCATAAAGTGAATACCAGTCACTTCTTTTGCCATGGGAAAAACTTGTCCTCGTTCATGCTCTAACTGCTGTGTTTGGGCATGGATGAGCTTACATGATAGTAAAATAAATGTCTTGGTCTTTTGACCAAGTTTGCTTTGAATGACAGTGCTCATTAGTCACTTAAAAAAAAACCCAATCCTTGTCTTTTCTGGTTGTGAAAACCTATTAGGCTATCTGTCCGTGGCAATAGTGTTTTAAGTGTGTAATCTGACCTGCATACTGTCAGCAGAGGCATTTAACGAAGTCTGTGGTCAGCATGCTACATTGAGGTTCACCATGATTAGGTTAACAGTGCAAGTGTTCAACAAAAAACGGGGGGAAGCTGTATGAGGGGTGAGTTCTCTTCAAAAGAGGCTGGAACCCCTTTTCAGTCTGCTGTGTTTCTGCTTTGTCCAGGTTTCGAGGGAAGAGTCTGCGGGCACAACGTTGATGACTGCCCAAATCACAACTGCCAAAATGGGGGTATATGTGTGGATGGTGTGAACACATATAACTGCCGCTGCCCACCGCAATGGACAGGTACGTACTATGGAAAACAAATGCAGGACTTCTGGTCTTCACCCAGTGTACAACTGGAGTTACATACAGCTGAAGGCAGCTCACATCTATGCCTTGTTCTGCAGTCTGGGGAGCAGATGCCAGTGAAACCCTTTAAAGAAAACTGTGCATCAAAGCCACCGCAATGGAGGGCAATTTCCCATTGCATCAGACAGTATTACGGGCTTGTGTGCGTGTGACAGAAAGGTACCATGGTTCATGAGCTGCAGTGTAGTGCCAATATCAGAGCTGTGCTTCTTGTATGGATTGCTTTGTAAGAGGGTATGAGTTTTCCAAAAGTACAAAACGTGGCTTTGCTATTATGGGGATGTGCATATAGCTGTGCTTTGCTGATATGTTTGGGGGTATTTTTAGCCTGGGATAATGATCGTCATATAGGTAATAGTAACACTGCTGAGGAACAGGTCAAATCTGAAGGGAAACAGGTGGGAGAAACGGAGGAAAGAGAAGTCTATGTATGGGAAGCTTTGTTTTTGCTACAGTTATTTTCCTGCTGTGACTAATTTTTATCTAGAGTTCTCTGACTAGCACAGCTACTTTTGCTTCATAAATGAGTCTGCTTGAGTCTGAGGGGGGGAAATGTGTGAATTTCAAGGAAGTGTTATGCATGATATAAAGAAGCAGCTTACAGGAAATTCAGTGTCATCTTTAGTCACAAAATGTCTCCATACCTCAAAAACAAACAAATACCTCCAGTTTTGGTGTGGGGTTTTTTGAGTCATACTAGGTATTCTTAGCTGGCACACTTTTTCAGTTGCATATAATTTTGCCCATCTTTCAAAAATCGTAGGTAGAAAAAAAACTAAAAGTCCAACAACAGCCCTAAAACTGGAAAACTGAGGTATGGACTCAATTTTCATTTTTCTTTTCATAAAGTAGATGGGGGTACTTGTGCTGAAGTTCCTTCAAAACCTGAGAAGGGAGTTCAAGCTTAGTTCCGGAACACTTTTCTCTGTTTCTGGAAAATATCATCTTTGAAACTTGAATATCTTGCAGTGAGTGCCACTACATGTGTAGTTCAGACAAATAGACTGCAAGGAGTTTGACTGCTGGAGACAGGGGGTTTATGTTATTCTAGCCTTTCTCCTTGGTAAGCATCATTCACATTATAAACCAGTTGTCACTAACTGCAAAGGAGGCTGCCAGTTAAGAGCCCTCATTAACTCAAAAAAAATTACATGTTCTTAAGCAAAGTTAAAACCACATAAGAGTGAAATTCACCACTGCTTGCTCTTTGAAATTAGATGTAAATAGAAGAAAATGTGTCCTCTCCTTAATGAGCAAGTACCCTTGCTTCTATACTGCTTCTCTGTCTATATGTCTTTAAAGCCTGCAGAAAGTGAAACCTGCAAAGGAAAGCAGAGAGCTTGGTTGTGGAGCCAACAGCCCTTCAGTGACCCTTAAAATCTTGTTCCATGCCACAGAAATCATAAACTGTCAGTAGTAAATTAATCTCAGGTTTATTCCTGAAGCATAGAGGGTGTGATGGATCATGAGCATGTACCATGCATTGAATCTACAAGGGATTATTTTGCTTTGTAGAGGTATCATAAGCTTAGCTTGGTTTACAGGATTTGGGTGAGTAGCTGCTGTCAGATAAGGATGACTTCTGCAACTCATCTGGAAGAGACCTTTGTGGTAATAGGCTGTGATTCTGTTTGTTTTTGTGGTGGCTTGTCTTTTTGATTAACCACTGAAGTTCTTTGCAATAGAGTTGTGGCAGTTCCCTCTCTGAAGTTCTTATGGACTGATTAGCATTGGGAAAAATCATTAGACCTGTGTTGTGGCATAGTCTTGTGCCATCTTTACTCTCTGTGCACAGTCTCTTCAGAAAACCTTATGTGCATGAAGGGTGCTTCTCTTTGGTGAAAACCTGGAAAAACAGCTGAGTCTTGTATTCCCATGGCTTTCTAAGACAATTTAATGGAATGGGCTTTCTGAGAATTTCCTTTGTTTATAATGAAGGTTGTCATCACAGCAGTAGTTTTAGGTAGTGGCTTCTCAAGGCCATTGATTTTCTAGACTTAGGAATCAGGTCACTTTGGAACTAACCCTTGTTTCACTTCTTAGGAAACAGCAGCTTAGCTGTTTGTACAATGACAGTTAGAGCCTTTGGGGAACTGAATTGTCTTGTTTGAAGTGAACGGTGTTGGTTTCAGTGCTCATAATAAAACATGAGTAACTTCAGAAGTAGCTATGCTTATTCATACTGGCCAGTGTTTGACACACGTAGGGCAGTAGCTCTGTGCATCCACAGGATGTATTAGTTATAGCCATTCCAGTGCCTGTGCTGTGAAACAGCCTTGGTCAGCTGGCCTTTAAGAATTCACTTATTGTATCTGTAATATTCCACTTGCCCAATAAATGTGTTTGCAGTTGATGTCCCATGATGCCCTGAAACCCTGTCCATCTCAACAGTGAATGCAGCCAAGTGGTGTGCATGGAGAAATGTCATGCAAGTCATAGAATCATAGAATAGTTAGGCTTGGAAAGGACCTTAAGATCATCAAGTTCCAATCCCCCTGCCATTTGAATGCCTCTTGTTCTCATGTCCTGCAGGTCATCCCAGCAGTGACTCTGCTCTGTCATCTCAATAGCATTTTCTTAGGAGAAGCTTGTTTCTGTGAATAGACTTCAATCCCTTTCCTGCATCTTCAATTAGACACCAAGAAAATGCAGGATAGCAGTACACATCCAGCTTGGAAACACGAGGGGTGACACTAAGGCAAGGCAAATAATAGTTTGAAGACAGACATGACTTTTTTCAAGGTGGAACCGCAGCTGATGCTGACAGGAGTAAACTATAATAAAAAAATGAGTTACTCAGTAATAAGGAAATGCTATGTAAATGCAGGCCTGTCCTTTGCAGAAATGTGGTTATAACATTGTAAATCATCTCTAAGGTAAGTGAAGAGGGAAGAGGTGAGCAAACAACTCTTTCCAAGTCTCTCCTAATAAATGCTTATAGCCCAATGGTGTTGAACTGTGAGAGAAAATACTTAAGGAAATCAAAACTTTCCAGTGAGACCTTGAGGTTAGAGGACATTGTGTGCTGCTTGGTAGGGGGGAAGCCCAAATGCACATATTTACAAGTAAACATTAGCCAAAAATGAAAGAATGCTAAATTTTCTAAAAATCTGAAACAGTGTAGATGTGCTGCCTTCATAAGGGTTCCACAGCCTCTTCTTTGAGGTACTTGCTTGTCAGATAATCTTGGAGAAGTTTAAATTGGTCTGCTTGCAGTTTCGGTCTTTATCTGATCTTTGCACTGTGGATGGTGATAGAGTACGTTTGCATAGAGAAATGAGTCCCATTGCTTGCTAGAAAACTCAAGAGACTTTACTGCATCGGATGAAGAATAGTTTTGTGTAAAGTAATATTGAAGCATCCTTTAGTGAAACAGAATCTCTCCCAATTCCTTTTGGTAAGCACCTGCCTCTTGGAATTCCCTGACAGGTGGTGGGCTGGACTACAGAACTGTGCAATTTTTTCCTTTTTTAAAAAATGTTTTTTTTTTTTTTGCTTGCCACTAGAATCCAGCTTTGGAGACACTGTTTGCTTTCAGTCTGATTTCCTGTTCTCGGAGCTCACCGTTCCTTTCTTGTTCAAGCGCTTGCCTTCTCTTTCTCATTTTGCTGCTTTTTCCGGAAAGATAAAATCTTGCCTTTCAGTAACAATGATGAGAAATTCCTGCTGTCACTAATCTCATTGCCACCTTCCAAGTTCTCCTATTTCATATGGTTATAGTGATTGTCAACCTCATAAACTTGTAACTGGCAAGATGATCTTGGATGTGTTTTGGTGAAACTGGCTCAGATCTTTCCTGTTGCTGAGTGTTAACTGATTGTTTGTTTGTTTGTTTAAGGATGACTTTATTTTGTCCCAGGCTAAATCCTTTGTCAGAATGAGTGTGCGTTGGGTCCTTTCAAGGCAAGATATTGCAGCTTTCCTTGGAAATAGGTCAGGATGCTTTTGTGAAAGACTCAAGCCTGGTTTTCTGTGCATGGCAAGTTAGAGAGTTTGGTGTGGTTTAAGTGTGATTTGAATCAAAATTAGCTAAAAATCCTCACTAATGACTGTGCCACTGTGAAGGCTCTCATTTATGCTGATGTTCTGCAGCAGTTAAACCACCCTGATGAGCTCGCTGCAGTCTGAGGAAGAAGGTGTCTTTGCCTTCTCTCACTGCTCCCAGCCACTGTCCCCCTTCCCCTGAGCTGGCTCTGGTATTTGTTGGAGCATGCCGCTTTAACTCACTAATCTAGTAAAAAATCCTGTGCAGCTGCTTTTTATTTTGTGTGTGTGTGTGGGATCAGGAATTAAAATTCACGGAGCAGTCTCATGGGTGAGTGGGAGCAGAGGAAGTGATGGCAGTCCAGCGCTGCAGAGTCATGTGGAAATCTAGCATGTCCTTCCACAGGACAGTGAAACCAGCTGAGGATTTCAAGGCTGCTCAGGCATTCCAGACTACAATTCATAGAAAGGAACAAGGCTTTGTGTAAAATGCACTTGTTCACTCTGTTGATCTAACCTATGCAGCTTTGTGTCAAGAAAGGTGACTTGAGAATTTGGGTACTAAAGTGGTTCATAATATAAAATGCTGTAAATGCTTTTGTTTTTCTTTACTGAGAAAGACTCCTACTTCACTGTTGAAAGCTTGCAGTGTTTAGAGGATCACTGTCAGTCTTTTTGGCCCAAATCACCTTTCAGGAGTGGTGCACAGCAGAGATTAAGATTTGTATCCTCTGTTGAGTTAAATCCTATGCACAGTTTGCGCCTGAAGTGCTGCATCAGGAGTTGTGGGATAAGTCTCTGGGTTTAGGGGACACACTGTCCACACAAGTGGGTTTTGGAAGACCTACATTATAGTGCTTCAATTGCAGGCCTGGCCTACTTGCCTCCTTTCATTATTTCTACCCCTGTGGCTGGGAAGGCAAGACTCCCATGGCACTTGTATTTATTTA